CGGGAAAGATACAGATAAAACTATTCGACCAAACGACTTCTTCTAAATGAACTAAACGAACTAAAAACATGAGAAAAAAATTTGTTTAACAGCCTTTTTTGGCACGAATAAGACGAAATTTTATTGTCAAAATCGTTACTTTCTTTTTTTAAAGTCCCACAACATTTAGAATTTCATACTTGTTTCTTGATTTTCTTAGTTCATCGACAATAAAACTTTATGAAGTTTACAAATATTTCTTGTATTTTTGTTTTGGGCAAGAATTAGAGGCTCTACATTTTCCGCCAATTCTCAACTACAGTGACAAGGCATGACGATGATTTGTAAAGCATTTAATGTTAAAGTTATCATTTTTTAATAAACAAAATTATTTAGCGTTTCTTAAATGTACAATAAATCACTCTTAAAGTTTTAGAAAGATTAGCTGTATTTGTCGTTCATAAAAAGATTCCCGAAAATCATCTTTTCAGCGTCATAAACCAGGTTCCCCTCTTAACAAGGGAAGTCCTTTAATGTGTTTGAAATATTTTGAGATTGCATTTACAAACGTTGTAGTCATAACATTTTAAGCAAATACACAAATCACTAAAAAATAGTTAACTGTACCATTACACCTCGATATTAGCTCGAAAAAAGTTAATATAAATTGGACAAAAATATAATATATGTATATGTTCAAGGTACACAACCTTGACAGAAAATTATACAATGACATAAACTAACTACTAAACTGTGGATTTTATGCATTTAAAAGGATTTTTGTCTACGACTAAAAGTGAAATGTTTAGTAAACTTTAATTAGATTAGCATTTTATCTGCAACTTGACGGATCTTTTAATAAAGTAAACAAATTTTTTTCGATTTCAAGTTGTTTAAATTATTCCACGAAAGTCTATATTTCCGAAAACATCCACAGTCTACTAATCACATGTATACATTTTTAATGCAACAACGACATATAATTCATCTATATGTAAGAAGAGTTACTTATAATTTAATGTCTTAATACAAAACATCATATTAGATGCCTACCTATTCTTGAAATTATTTATCTTAATGTTCCAATAAGGGTAACTAGAAGGTATCAATTATTTAAACCAATGATGTTCAGTAGGAAATATGTAATATAACCACATATTCTTCTAAATAAGATTATAATCGTGTTATGTGATATTGATACACAATGTATATAATCATAATTAGAAACTGTAACTGTACAGTTGGGTTCGTTTCGTATGAAAACCGAAAATAAATAAATATTTATAAACATTAACCATGTAATAATTTTATATAATTTCCACAATAATTTCAGACATACTTGTATATAAATAAAAACTATTGGGTTGTTCGGAAAATTCATAGCGTCTTTAAGGGCAGAGTAACCATCTATAATTTTCAATTTATATCATTCTTATGCACTCATCTTTACACACTTTCTTTGCATTTTTCACTTTACTTCATTGCACGAGTTATCTACAACCTCGAATGTATACGCTAAAAAAACTCTTCAACCTGCTTCAAGACGGATTTCGTTTTCAAAGTTTTTTCTCGATACAGAGTATTCTAGTGATCTAAAGGAAGAATAATTTGACTGGCCAAAGTTTTATTAATTGGATAGATCCTATAAAATTTTCCAGTCGAAGTAGTGTAATTTCTTTTCTAAGTTTGATACAACGTAATGAAAATGGACTTTGTGCTTGTTCGTGCATTCCGTCGCTATTTCTCACGGAAAACAAGCAACAGACTATGTAGTAACTTATATGGTAAATACATTAAATTCACACCTGGAAAACAGTACATGAACAATTTTTCCTTCGTTCAGTAAATAGGTAACGAAAACATTGTGTTCGAAACGCTACGAATTTTTCGAATTAATACGGTCATTATTTACAAACAGAAACAGTAAGTAATGGGCAGGCGTATTGACCACTAACATTCAGAAGCACGCGAGTTCGATCAATTTTGAAAATCACTTCTTTCAATAATAAAGAAAACTTAATTCCTTCATTTTTTAATGTTGTTATATGAAGAACCCTTTATTTTCGATTGTGCTGCGACTTCCAGTAGATCTTTTATTTCAGGAGCGATAACGTGCGAATCGAACAAACTCTCGGTATGCGTGCTAAATGAAAACGTGCAGCAGCGCAAACCCGCTTTTGTGTTGAAACTTTCGGTCAGATTGTGTTACGTGGTGCATCGAGCGTACAAAACGAAACCCGATTAATCAGTCATGGGTAATATCGCCTGAGAAGTTGGTTTCACGCTTCAGTGGAGCTATGGTTCGATTAGTAGTTGCACTTTTTGAAACGTGCACACTATGTTTCGTGTACACATTTTTAAGGATTCGTTGAATTGACTTATCGAATTCTTTATAGTGATGCGAGAGTGAGTGATTAATAGACTGCGGATATTCATGCGAATGTATATCATTTTATAGAAAATCGCTAAAATAATGGGACTTGAACAGGATCTTCCTTTGTCATTAGGGGGTTCTAGAAATATATTTTTTATTTTTAATAATACATTCTACGTAAATATGTATTGGAACAAAACGTTAATTTTTATATAATGTTAAAGATTAGTATGATTTTTAAGGGTACACATGTTGAAGGATCACAAGAAGTTCCGACTCATTATTGGTGTAACTTTAAATATGCCCCTAAAACACCATGTGACGTAGAACGCCCTTTCTCGGCGTATAAATTAATTTTATTAGATAAGAGGCATGAACTTAAAATCGATAACATAGAAAAAATGATTATATAATAGGTACTGTAATTTGAATTATAATAAATAAAACAATAAAATGATTAATATTTTGTAGATATGGAAATATATTCCTTGCATATATTTTACATATATCTTGCATACATCTCGCATATATTGTGCATATATGTTGCATATACCTTGCGTATATTTGATTGCATATTTCGACATATTATACTTGCATAAACGTGGGCAGTCTAGTGATTAGGATAAAGGACTCGTTAGGATAACGGAGATCAAACTTATTACCGTTCTCGGTGTGAAACTCTGAAGAGGTATGTTCAATTTTTCTGGTCTAAATAAAATATAGATGGTGGATTTAATATATTGAAAGGTCGTTTACTATTATTATCGAAATAAAATAATTTAACGGATATTGCGGAAGTATTGACATGTAGTATATTCAACTGATCTACAGCACTTCTGACACGAAAAAAGAAAATCGCGGTAAGAGTAAATCATAAACTAACAATTCTCGAGATATTCAGCTCCTTATTTTATAAGACAGATAAATTACTATTGTTTTGACAGTTCTGGATACGTATCATGCTATTGTGGAAAATGTCAATACAACTAGTATTAACGCTTATTCAACGAATACAGTGGGTGATCGGTTAACGAACATAATCCGTTCAAAGAAAATGTTCGTTATCCGAATTGTTCGTTATCTGATCATTGATTTACCATACATTTTTACGGGAACTTAATTAATTCGTTCAGGGAATCCAAAAAATAAATAAAAATTATTGTTAATACTACGTTTATTGTCCGAACTGTTCGTTAACCGATTACCCACTGTACTACATAATGTATAAGCCAACATTTATCACAGTACATACCTATTTATTTTTTTAACAATTTCCAATCTCACGCGTGCTAACGAAATTTATTTCATTTGCATCTTTTTGCAAAAATTCGTATTCACCTCCACCCCAAAAATTGGGACACCCATATATGTATTCGCGCCCGCAATGATCCGAACGTTGGAGATGCACCGAATGTAGAACGTACCAAATGGTTACACAAACTCGGACAGTAAATGAGGAAACTTGGTTCAACAAAAAACTAGTGGACTGTATTTAATATATAAACAACTTTGGACGCGTGAGTATTCAGTGGCTGTCCCTGCTCAAGAAACCAAGACTGACTTGTAGACACACAAGCACCAGTTTGGTTCTATCAGTCACACTGACTGTTCAAAATGAGATTGATGTTTCTCCCTTGGAGTACTGATTGAATCTGGTAAAAATTCGTAAGACTGAAGGCCTCCTCGGTGAAGCGCCTTGCCCCCCACTTTCACAGTCCGCCCTCAGCGCACTTCTTCGTGGGGGTGGAAATGTAAAATGCCCGCTAGGGTGGACGACAGTTCGGCAACCTTGGGGACTTTCCTCCAGGTACCGTACGCGAGGCTCCCTGCGAGCCGAAGCACGAACAACAGCGTCCCGTTACCCTTCGGAAAGCCCTGGTTTATGACATGGACCGGTAACTAATTTGGCGCGAGGGTGACTAAAAACTGCTGGTAGTATAAAATAATGTCGTACCGTGCACATTTGGCGACCAAATGTGCAGGACAAAGTCTTTACAAATCTTCGCTCGCCTCGTCGATGCCATAAACCAATTCCTGGAACACCGTGTTCCAGAACAATATGAATGACGATAGTCAATTTGCCTTCAAAATAATCGTATTTAATGAGATGTAGAAAAACATTTTCTGATTCAATTTTTATTTTAAAAAAATTATTTTATATGGGATATACAGTATACAATATGTCAGGATTAGTAGGATATACAGTGTACAATATTTGAGGATTAGTCCAAGTAAAGAAACATTCTAAGCCCAAAGTTTTGAAAAATGTTGTATTTTGAATAATTTTTTATTTACAATCAGTTCATTTTATAATTTTCAAGCTGAAGAATGACAAATTTGGTGTATAGATCCTGTTTCCCATCAGGAATGATAACATGATGCTAAAACTAGCGTCTGTTGTTTCTGATTGGTAGTGAAACTTCCAACAGTTAAACCATAAAGCAATCTACACGCGATGTCACGCATATCCGAAATTTCCCTGTCGAAATTTGTTTCAACTCTGATTACTAAGTCGAGGACGCTGATATTCCTGGTGTAAATGAAGCGTTCGAAACAGATACAGAGCAAAACCGACACGACCAAGCTGCATACACTAGATGAACTTTGACGACTGATGTGCTGAATTTAATCGTCTCATAATTTTTACAATGTGACGCAATTTTCTATCACTTCGCGTAGTTGTTCCACGAGGGCAGCCACACCTCCTGGGATTAGATACACTTCCCGTTGCGTTAATTTTCTTTTTAAGTCACTAACTGCACTTTGACTGCACCCCATGATTCATGTAACTCTTTTTGGGCTATTTCCTTCCTTCAAAAGCTCGATTATTTTTACCTTTGTATCATTCGAATACACTTTGTGTTGTGCCATATTAAACTTTTCACTTGCTTGTGTTCTGAATGAAATTGTACAACTAACTAACTGTCTTAGAAGAGTTTAACTTCTATTTATACTTACAAACTACACTTGACATATTCAAGAACGTACTTATTCTAGCTATATCGGAAACTTTCTTCCAGAAATTCTCTTAATCGGAAACTTTTTTCCATGTAATATTTCATTTATTATCGTGTTTCTTTTTCATTATAAATTGAAGTTTGCGTTATTTTATTATCTCCTTCGTATTAACCTCGTTTCAATTTCCCATGACTTCAATATTTATATGATAGTATTTTATAGTTTTAAAGTAAGGATATTGTCCGTGAATTTTGTATTAATACTTGTGATCGAAAACTTTTTGCCAGGGGTTGTACATACGCGTATAAATACTTTTTCTCTGGTATTGTGTATTACAAGAGTAAAGTTTTTCCAGTGTGAAATTATGTTCAGAACTGTAGTTACGGTATACATTTTGGTTTGATAAAAACCATGCAGTTTACGCAATCAGATTACTAGTAGTCTCTAAGGTAATACACGAGAGAGATGGTTAGTATCACCTACAAAACGAGAACAACGAGAGCAACAGCAAGGGAAAAGTTTTCCGTTTTAACTAAATTAATGACGAAGTCATTAATTAATTTTAATCCTGTTTCGGTCCCACCTGAAAGGCCGATTCATACTAATGAGTTCTGGGAACTCTTCTGCAGTGTTTTCTGGAACTCCCACCACTATGTGATGCGTTTCTGCGGAATAGGATTTTCTTCGCGAACATTTGATCAATTTGTGAATAAATTGTTGAGCTTTCATGAACATGATTAACTCTCATTGTCGATGGTTGTGCCATAAAAGTATTACCTAAATCCGGATATAGTACTTACATTATAAGCTGATTTTAATCTTCTCAGACCAAAAAGTAACTGCTGCCTTTCAATACTTAACTATATCACGTAACTGCCTGTTCTGCGAACTTCTTATCGTTTCACGTTCCAATAGCTTTCCACGTACCTAAGCTCTATGAATATATTTCGTTTCACTGAAACTGTCTGCTGACTAGCACTGCACATGTGTAAGGAAATATAGTACATAGTCCTGCACTAAATCAAACTATATATGTTACACCCTGCTATTAGATGTATTAATAAACAATATGCTACTTTTTACCAAAGTGAGTTTTCATTTTCAGGGTAATCAAATATCTATCTGATTTACCTAATAAAATTTTACCTTTTCATATGTATTAATCATATCCTTTTTATCATACACAAGGTTAGATTCAATATACTCACGCGACACAAATACGAATTATAATTAATTTTTAATCGAGCAACGTACCTATTATACATTGTATCGATAAATTAGTTGAATAATATTTTTAACCAATATGTCAGAAAATTTTATATGAATCTGTATTTCTTCCTTAATCGTTTATTTCAAAGAACATTAAGGGGTCTTCTGTGGTTGTAAGGAAAAAAAGCGATTTTTTTGGAACTTATCAGGGCAAAACGTGTGCATTTATTTTCACAAAAGTTTTTGCATTTAATAAAGGCACGTTCGAAGAGTATTTTATTTATGCAGTTTTTTCATGCAAAAATATTGACTTATTTAAGAAGTATGCAGTATTTCTCGGGAGTGCTTTTTAAAAAAATTGGTTCGCGATGACCACTCCTACTCGGAACTGGACCATCTAACATTAAAATTTTGAGAAACTTCCGTTTATATATTACTTTATCTAATCTCTAATCAGAGCATTGTAGAAAAAAAATCATTCGGGACAAAATGGTCGGCGTTGAAATTTCAATGACCGACATTTATTTTAAAAAACGTTCATTCTTCGGCCACAAAATTAAAACCAAGTATTGAAAAATGAAATCCTACGATCAGGGACTGGATTTTTATATCCAGAATAGGCCCTCAAAATTTGGAACAGATTTGTTCAGCGGTTTTCGATTAATCGTGGCCACCGACTTTGAAAACATGGTTCTGAAAAAAGCGCGTTTAAAGTTAGAAATGCAATTTATATGCAAATGAAAATTTTTGTGTAACTTACAGAGTCATCTATTCCAGACCCATAGAGTAGACCCTTTGCTGCACTGGCCGCTTCCAGAAGCTCAATTTCACGCAGCCGAATTTTTCAAAATTTCTAACCACAGCAGACCCCTTAAGGAGTCATGCTCAGTGAGAAATTTTCAAAAAATCGATTTTTCACTTTCTACATTTTCTTTAAGTACAACATCTCAAGAATATTCTGTGCAAGTTTCAAGGTAATCCAATTAAAAATGACAGAGTTACAGGCGTTAAAAAATGAACATTTTATATAAGTGTAAGCTTGACTTGAAACTTTAAACGCGTTTTTCTCAAAACTACATTTTTCAAATCGGTGATCAATATTTCTCGAAAACTACTGTGTCGATTTACATGAAACCTTTTGCGCCTTATTTCAAATCAGAAAAACTTGTCCTTGAACGAAGGAATTTTTTGTTCGTTCCATATTTTTTTTTTAATTGACCAAAAACAATGATTTTTTAGGTGAAAATCGCACTTTTTCAGGAAAGCGTTCGCTATTTTGATCCTAATCAATATTTCGAAAAACCCCACGTTCAAGGAGAAGATTGGTTCTTCCATTACATAAATCTTACTGAATTTTTAATTTCAGACGAACCGTTACGAAGTTATAGTGATCACGGCAGACCACTTTTTGTGAAGAAACATCCGGAAGATCGGTCACTATTTATTTGTCAATAAATATTTTTAAATAAAAAAATTACCTTATAATCTAGAAACTGTAATCTTTGAAACACAGGCACAGTTTTTGAAAAAGGTAGTATAGTTTTCGAGAAATAAATTCCCAAAGAACACTCTTTTTTCTGCTTTCTGACTGATCATGACCCCTTAAGTCTCTCTACTGTTTGATGAATTTCATTCGCCATTGGATATAATACCCATAAATTCGAGGATATATTGCACCGAGTTGGAATGATCACTTGTATCCATCTATATCAACATTAAAATGTTACCTAGCTAGATACGAGGCCAGTTCTAACCGTCCACGTATTATCCACTTTCTCTTCGTCCGGCTGTATGGCCGGTCACATAATGGATTTTCCACTTCAGGAAGGAAATACTCGTCCCGTCGCGGAATTGTATCTCGTTACTTGAACTCGAAACGCCACTCGGAGCAATCTATATAAATTGAGAGGAATGCCCCTGGTCCCTCGTCTGTTCCCTTCGTTTTCCTGCCTTCCTACCTCTATGTCTGTCACCGATTGTTTGTCTCTATCCTCTTCGCCGGTAACGGCAACACGACGTGATCAACGCCATCAACGCTTGAAACGAGCAGCTGGCTGTCACAACTATGCAGAAAGTTCAAGTGTCAATCTCGTAGGACAAATCTTTTGATATATTACGTTTGACGGAAGGTTCTACCGTTCTTTAACCTGTACAGGACGGAAAACCCATATTTTAGGCTTTAGAAGGGTAGCTTATTTTTCGTAGTATAACGCTCTAATAAATATTGTTACGTGTTACCCGATAGGTAGCACGTATTGTATAATGTTAAAGCGAGAGACTTCAGGTTAGCGACGTCGTTTTGGTAACAACGCCAAAACAGAGACAGAGTAGAGTCGTGATATGACTGTAGAATAGAAAAGACGTGTTAAGATAAGTACTCCTCCTCTCCAAATAAATAATTCTTCCTTTTTATTAATATTGCCTTTATTTATTCTAATATGTAAACGTTCTAATCCGCAAATATGAATAGTCGTGTCAAAAATCTGCCCATCCTCTAAAGGTTAAACGCATACTTCTAAAGATGATATCTTGCAGATGGCTGCTTTACAATAAAGTGTCATATGAGCAGTTTATCTTGAAAGTGATTGAAGTCTACTTTTCCTTGTTTCTTTATTTGCAATTTACTTCTATTTATTTATAACCACATTATAAGATGAAAATCATCATATATTGTTGATTTTTTGGAAATTGGACTTACACGTCTTTCGTAACAAACGGCACAGATAATTGCACCAGTATAATTAATGGAGTCATGGATGGGTTACGAAGCTAATTAAACGACGTACCCAGAAGAGCTACAATTTATATAATGCTTTGTTCTTTGAGTTTAGAGACTGCAAATTGTCGAATGCAAACCGAAATGTTTGTTAGAATTTCGAGATATTCTTAGTCTTCAGGAAGCAAAAATTTAAATCACGGATTAAATGAATAGCAAGTTCGAGGCAGAAGCAGGAAATGGTTTGATTATTTTACAAATAATAAAATTGAATATCGTATGAATAAATATCATTCGTAAAAACAAAAACATTTGAAATGCCATTTCTTTAGACATTGTATTATAGTACCAAATTACTTTCGACCTGTAGAAAATGTTGTATTTATGAAATAAAATCAATAGCTTAATGAGCAACTAATCCTTGCTATTCTATGTTGCATCTTGTAACTAAGTGTATCGAGCAACCCTTAATTAGAATATTAACCTAGAATTGTAATACTGAACACAAATTGACGAGAGTAATCCCTTGAAAGGGATTAGCAAGAACACTGTCAGCGTATTTTGTTATACACTTGAAGAAATTTTATTCTATTTCTCCGCGGTTGTGACAACTCACTGGAGGACATGTAGCATAATTTAATTGTGTTTATCGAATTATGTGATTCCCAATAATGTTATAAACACATTTAGTTTCGTTCTATGAATTCACGTTTTTCAATGCTAATTTCTCACTCAAACTTCTCCATAACAGACCAAACTGATTAAGATTTCAGATTTCATTAATGAAATTGTCACGTAAAGTTTCAGACAGGACTGCGGTTCCGCTTCTCTTTCCTCGCCATCCGTTTCTATTCGACCACGAAGTTCCTGGAAACTCATTTCCATTAGTCTTTGA